GTCTCCTGAGGTCTCAGCCTGAACACGTCACCTTCAACTTCCCAGCATCTTGCATGCTTGGGTATGAAGGACACGAGGTGCAGTCATGATACCGGGGTGAATTCATCAGTAGTTCCCTGCATCTCCAGCAGCTGGATGTCCAGAAACTTCTCAGAACACTGGCTGATGGCTCAAGTCCTTAGCTTTCCCAAGGCACATGGCTAGAAATCATCTTGAATCACAGGACAAACAGCCAAATCTCAACTATCTGAAAACTGGTGGCCTTGTTTCTAGATCTTTCCAATTTGAAAACCATCTAATTTGTTTCTATTTCAGGCAACCAAAACCTAGTATTATGGATATGCAAGGAAAATACAGTCGTGGTTCTACTGCCCGGCATATGGGTGATTTTGAGCACACCGATCAAAGAAATTCCAAATGGGCAACCCTTGTTAGGCAGAGTAAGGCAACACTGCCAAGAGCTTACAGACCACCTATGCTGCCAAAGCTACCGAAAAAGGAGGAGGTATGATCATTTGCTTTTCTGAATAATCATAGAAAACATCAAGGTGTTTTAACATATGAATTAGAGAATGCTGTTTAATAGAAAGACTACTAATAATCAGCTTTATAGCTCCTTTTGACCTATCAAAACATTTTATAATTTATATTGGATTTCCACAGTAATGTCCATACTGTGTGTAGGTGGGTATTACAGCTAAAGAAAACAAGAGGTTGTGAGGTTCAGCCCTTACAAGTGTTTATTTATCACATGGTTTAACCTGGAGAGAATGGCCATCCCCTTGATGTCTAAAACCTGAGAAAGCTCTCACTTTGTGAAATGGACATAAATCTATAACCCCTCTTAAAACCCCTACAGACTGGTTAGCAGAGTAAGAATACACCAGTTCAAATTCAAGTTTTTTTTCCCACTACTATCTGAAACCTTGAGCAAGTTGCATAATTTCCCTACATGGCTTTTTTTTGTTTTTCCTGAGGAAGATTCACCCTGAGCTAACATCTGTGCCAATCTTCCTTTATTTTGTATGTGGGTCATCACCACAACATGGCCACCAATGAGTGGTGTAGGTCTGCACCCAGGAACCAAACCTGGGCCGCCAAAGCAGAGCTCGCTGAACTTACCCACTAGGGCACAGAGCCAGCCCCTCTATATGGTTTTTTTATAAGTAAAATGGGGATATTAGTCTCTGTCCTAAATATTTTTAGAGTTATCATGAGAATCAAGTAAAGAATGTACAAGTATGTATTCAAATCAACAACTCTTTCCTGAGGTCCTTTTGCATAATCCACAGCAAAATGCACTTTGTAGTGTCAGTATTGAATATTGGTTTTGACAACAAATTTACATGATACAAAAGGGAATAGAATAGCTCAGATACATTCAGAGACTCCTGTTCCTTACATGAACACTCTCTGTGCTGTATTGAAGAATCTTGCCAACTCTCTAGAATATTGCTCACCCTCTGTCACCAGAGATCTGATTCATTAGCAATTAATCATATTTGAAACATTCTGTGAGGGAGCTGTGGAAGGCCTCCTTGGTGGGTCCTGACCCAGGGATGCTTTGTATTGAAAAAGGGAGCAGTTCAGCTGCTAACATTCCTATGTGGTCTGAATTTTGGGCTGGGTCCAAATGAGATGATTTATTGTGGTATGTGGAGGAGGCTTAGATTAGTTACTTTCCATCACTGAACTAATTTTGTGCAGATTAGAGTGATCATGGATTAAACGATCCCAAATGCCTCCTTCTATCATTCACTAAATCCAGTTGAGATATTTTTGTGCATTTAGAAAAAAATCTGTTAAAAGACTTTTCATTTTGAAATGATTTCAAACTTACAGCAGATTTTCAACAACGGTAAAAAGTGAACTCCTGATACATTATTTCCTCCGAGTCGCCAGTTATTAATTTTGCTTTATTGCTTACTTTCTATGTGTGTGTGTATGTGCACAGATACACATACACACACATATATATTTGTTTTTTCCAAACCATTTGAGGGTAAGTTGCAGACATGATGCTCCTTGGCCGATAAATATTTCAGAGTGTATTTCCTAAGAACAAGGATGTTCTCTCACATAACCACAGTACTATTATAAGATTCAGGAAATTTAAGATTGATACAATATTATTATCTAATCTATAGTGCATAATCAAATTTTATTAATTGACCCCAAGAATGTCTTTTCTCTCTGATCCAGGATACAATCTATTATCATGTATTACATTTTGTCCTCATCTCTCTTTAGCCTCCTTCAATTTGGAGCAGTTCCTTAGTGTTGGTCTTTTATGACACTGACATTTTTGAAGGGTACAGACCAGTTCTGTAGAATGCCTCTTAATTACGGTTTATCTGATGTTTTCTCATGAGTAGATGCAGGTTATGTGTTTTGGGAAGTAATTCCAGATAAGTGCTGCTATGTCATTCTCAGTGCATTACATCAAAGAGGTACCTGAGGTTGGTTTCACCCATAATTGGTGAAGGTAATCAATTTCTTGGTTTCACTCATAATTGGTGAAAGTAATCAATTTCTAGGTCACAACTTTTCCCTTCCAGAGATAAACAATATCCTATATTATTCAGTAATCTCTCTTTTTTTTATCAACTAGCCTTTCTTCTAAATTTCCAGAGAAACATTAGAAACATGTTCTCCAAGCCCATTTTTTGGACCATCCCCCAGGGTTCTTATGGATGACCCTTCAATAAGTACTCAAGTCCCATTCCACCCCTTGAATATAAATCCTCTTCAGTGAAAATAACTTGAATCAAGTGTTCTTATAAATTCAAAAGCAAATAATGAACACAATATGCGTAAAGCCTCCAACATAGAGCCTCACACTAGCCACCCATGAGTGGCCACTATTACTCTACTTACCTGAGATGCCAGCACATCTTCCAATCCTACGCTGCAAGAATCAGAACCACACTGAGCCAGCCCTGATGGCCTAGCAGTTAGTTTGGCCTGCCCTGCTTTGGCGGGCCGGGTTCAGTTCCTGGGCGTGGAACTACACCACTCATCTGTCAGTAGCCATGCTATGGCAGCGGCTCATATAGAAGAACTAGAAGGACTTACAACTAGAATATACAACGATGTGCTGGGGCTTTGGAGAGAAAAAAAAAAGAGCTAGATTGGCAACAGATGTTAGCTCACAGCAAATCTTTCCCAGCAAAAAAAAAAAATACTCAAAAAAAAAAAAAAAAAATCAGAACCATGCACTGAAAGCAGCCACAAAAAAGTAAAAATTTGCCAACGGTATTGGGGGATTTGGGGGAAATTTTAAAAGCATAAACCTATACACAATATCACGTTTTCTCATTAAGACAGAAGGTTGAAAATGGGGATGTTTTATATTCACATAATTGAGTTTGGATTTTTACTTATAAACCTAAGTTTGGAGCTTAATTACAATGTTTCAAAAAGTACAATTTATGATATTTAACAGTATGTATCATTTTTGTATACATTTACCCAAAATGCTCATACAAATATTTTTGAAAATCGATTGGGCAAATTTCTAAACTGTTTCTTCTTACGAGGCTTACGTGATTGTGGAGGCTGGCAAATCCAAAACCTGCAGGGTAGGCCTGCAGTGAGAGTGATGTTGCAGCTAAAGTCCAGAGGCAACTTGGAGGCAGAATTCCTTCTTCGCTGGGGACCTCAGTTTGTTTTCTCTTAAGTCCTTCAACTGAGTGGATGAGGCCTACTCACATTATCGTGGGTAATCCGCTTTACTCCAAGTCTACTAGTCTAAATGTTAATCTTATCTAAAAAATACCTTCATAGCAACATCAACACTGGTGTTTGACCAAATATCTGGGTACCATGGCCTAACTAAGCTGACAAATAAAATTAACTATCACAGTACCCATCTCATCTAGATGTGAGGATTGAATAAGGTAACATATATAAAGCATCTGACAGCACAGTCCAGCCACCAGGGAAACAAAAAGCAATGTGGTGTGTATGTGCGTGTTTAAGTTCTTTATCAATGGCATGATTTTAAAGCTGCTTGAGGGAATATGGAAAACACCTGAAACTTTCATTTAATCCAAAAAAGACTTTGAAATGCCTGATGTTACTTCTCCCTATAGTCTTTAAGACAACATAATGCAGTATGGTATTATATTGCTACAAAAGTTACACTTAACAGCATATTTTTTCCTGAGACCATATATATCAGTGATCTCATCCCTTTCATAGCAAATATTTTATAATGCCCTTTACTTTCCTAAAATAAAATTCATAAACAACGTAATCTACTCACACACATAATTTGTAACAAACCAATATAATGTCCTAGATGTACTACTTAAAAAGTAACATATTAATATATATTTTAATATACAGACATTGGGGCACTAGTAGATTAGAATAGAAAATATAATGAAGTAGACGGATGCTTGTATCTGTATGTAGTCGCCATGAATGTAACAGCTAGAAATGAAGGCTGATACAGATACACCACGTTGATGACTCAAATTCCACGAATATCGTAGCTGTTGGTAACACTGTTTTCCAAATTTATGTCAGTTCTCGTTAAAATTCTGAACCTTACAAAGTAAAATCTTCCCTCAATTTGTACCAAAGTAGCATTCCCGGAAAATTCAGAATATATTAAAATATGTGAAAAATACTTTGTGCTTTTATGTAAAGCAGAATTAAATTCTCAGCTTAATTATAAACAGTTTTCTCACCCACACGAATGTCCAGCAGGATATTTAAAAGTCACGCAGGAGGTGAGACAATTCCTCATTCCATGGGGTGCCCCACACATTACAAGACATTTCTCCTACCATCCTCAGCCCCCACCATGTGCCAGTAGCCCTCACCCATCCTTACGCTAACCAAAAATGCTTCTACATTTCCAAAACACCCCTGTTGAAAATCACTGACATACATAATAAACTTGTTTCAGCATGAATTAATGAAAATGAGATCTCAGTTTTTAAGTTTTAAGATTAAATATAACAAACAAATCACATGCAGTACCAGGAAAATGTTCAAGATAAATTCAAAAGGTTTATTGCACCAAATGCCACAGAAAAATGGATCAAAATAATACATGAACAAGTTTTAAGAAAAATTTTCCATACATTGACATTAATACCTATTTAAACTGATCAAAAATATAAAGTCCTATTAATTTGTCTTAATGGAGCTTCAATAATAACAATTCCCAGATTTTCTCCTTTTTTAAACACCACTTAAATTTAAGCATATTGCAATCTTGCTTCCAAGATATATGGTTCACCAAATTTTGACATTTAAAAATGAACATTCAGAGGGGGCTGCTTGATTTAGGCAAATATTATATTAAAATATCCCCCTCTGCCAAAGCACAATAAAAAACAAATGTTTCACATTTACAAGAGAAGCTAAAGACTTTTTCAATTTAATGGTGAAAGTATGCATGAACAAAATACTTTCAAAAGTACATTTTAGTGGAAAAATCCAGACATTGAAAAGATTTTTGGGGTCACTTCATATTCTTTATTTTTATGTACAACCAACTCTAGTGAAGAACCTAAAAAGCTACAGACTAAATTTTTATAAAATCTCAGGACCTAATTAGAAGAGCCTAAACAACAGTTTAGTATCATTTAGCAAGCAGGGATTTTCCTCCCTCCAAAAAAGTTAATTTTGAAAAATATGGTAAGTTTAAAAAGTTGCGATGTGTAAACGGCAGTTCCATGGGATGTGAAAAGATTATAGTTACTTTCATTAAAAAACAGCACACTTCAGAAAAATGGATTGAAGCCTGTACAAAAAGCTATTTAACACTGATAAAAATAAAATACTTTGGAATTATGCACAAGTATGGAAGCTACATTTTAAATTTTCATTGTCATGTTTAAACGTACACAATTATCTTTACATTCATATCACTCATCAATCTATTAAAAATAAAACTGCAACATGCTAGAAAGAGGTCCATCACAGTAACATTTACACATTTCTGCTCTGTCATGCCTCACTAGCTTGCTTAACAAAGCAAGATGCTACAAAAGTTACACTCAACAGGTAAGACTTAAAAGTTGAAGAAACCCTAAAGGTGGAATCCTGTCAACTGAGGTAGTTTTCTTTTTTTTTTTTAATTTTTATTTTTTTCTTGAGGTGGGCATGGGAGAGGGCAGGATCCCCTTCTTGCCTCTGCAGCTAACACAGAATGAAGCCACTGGGTGGTGTATGGTGTGTGAGTGGGGTATCTCGACACAGCTCCATGAGATTTCTTTCTTTTCCACTTTTGGGAAGAGGTTGAATTTAAGACAAACAAAACTTGAATGTTATTTAAAGAAGGATTATAAAAGAGCAGCAACATTCTTGGACTGTTTTTGCGGGCAACAGACGTGAGGATTAGGTCCTGACTGGAATCCTGAGCATCACCGAGACAACCCCCACTTGTGACCCACCTGTAGTTTTCCAACAGACATTTTTCCAAGAGAGAGTGTTGGAACAGGAGATTAAGAGGCCAATTAAATCTTCTCAGGCTTTGAGGGGGCTGGGCTAAATCTTTTATGTATGGAGTTTAGAATCAGCCATTTAAAGCTCAATTTCCCCCTATATGGGCCTAATTTTCACCATGCCACTATGTACACATTAGAATGGAACTGATTTTGCATCTAGTTATTTCCTATGAAACCCTGGAAGGTGGTGAATGAGGGAAAGTGCCCAAAACGTGTAAACAAGGAAAAGAGAACTAGAGATGAGGGAAATGCTTTAAACTGGTGCAGATGGAAATGATGTAACATCAGCTATTACAATTTATTCACACATAATGAAAAACAATTGATGAGTGAGCTGAGCCACAGGTGAGGTTCATTCTCTTTGTGTAACATAACAACAGGCAATGATGCCATGGAACTAGAGAATTTAAAACACCAAACTCAGATGTTAGACAAAAGGAAATAGAAAAACATAAAAAGAATGGAAAACTTCAGTTTTATGAAAGAAAGATATAAAATAAAAATTAAAGATCTTAAGAGCCTTAATGCACCCATCTACATTTCACATCATAAAAAAAGAGAGGGGGAAGGTAGCAGTTCTGACCTATTCCTAAGAATTATTCCTAAGAAATGATAGACTTATTTTTCTGCATTGGTACTGCTGCTGTATTCTTTGAAACAAATCATTAACTTGTAAAAGAATAAAGAGACAAACTTATGTAACCTGTTGTTTAGGATAAGGATTTCATCAAATAGAAAATTTGAAGTCATTCTAACCCCCAAAAGGAACGTGACTTCATATTCCTAGGTACAAAGGATACATAGAAGGGACTGGAATTAATTCATAACAATGAAAGGAGATCAGAGCCTGGTTATAATTAACTGTACTCAAGATCTGCAAGGTGCTAACGATGTTTTGCTTTATTACATTAGCTCCTTTTAATGATCTACTTTTTTAAAGTCTCTTCCTTTACCTGGATGTCAGTACACAGTCTGACATGGTCATAGTTCATGGTCAGGACTAAGTAAAGTTTCTTTTATATTAACAGAAACTTAAGTTTTTTTAAAAAATGAACTATGCTAATAAACAATTCTTCATTTTGGCAGGTTTTATAGTGGGTGAGTTAATTTCTATAAAGGTGTTTTGAAAAGGGCATAGGGATTAGAAGGCACAGAGATGATAATGTAAAAATTTAGATCATATACGGATTGTTTATAAATGTTCAAACTAATTACTTTCATTAGTTATCTTGAACTGTTGCAGGTTTCATTTCCCACCAGGACAGCTGTGCCTTTTAAAGTATAAATAGTCATTTGTATTAACTATTACAGGAAGAAAGTAGCTTCGGCTGGAAGAATTGAGCAACAGAAACACTCTTGAGCTTATAGAAATAACTTTGGTAAATGGCCTCTTAAAAAGGCTGCTGAAAGCTCTAAAGTATCAGGATAAAACATGGTATCAGACTATGCACTTCGCTGCTACAAACTACATCTTGATGGGATTAAGATGCTACATTGATCCTTGGGTTTATTGCACCAACAATCTGTCTCAAACCGACCTGTGGCTGCATGTGAAACAAGGTAAACTCCAAGAAGACGTGAAAACAGTGGATCCTAAAGAACTCTCTTCCCAACGGTCAATCCTCTTTCACACTTCACGTCAGACAGTAACTCCTACAGCCACCAGAGCTGAAGATGGCACAATGTGGCTTCCTTTATTTTACCTTTTGTAAAAAGCAAACTCTGACCTGGAATCCAGAGGCCTTGTTCTGCCTGTCTTCTTAAAATAGCAAAATATGCTTCCCCCAGTTTGGAGAGCTCATGCTTACACTCTGAAACATTTTCCTACTGGAATGGTAGACACACTGTTTACCCCCTGCTCCCAAGTCACTATGCTGCCCAAACACACAAGGCAATCTGTACCAACAGCTTAGTGTTCAGTGTAGTGCTTACGTTTCCTCCTACCAAAAAGGTCACTCTCTCTGTTGATTCATGGGTGACGAAAGGCCTACTAAAGTGTTCATGAAAAACACAAATGCCATTATGTCAAGTAAACCTAAGTCTTCCAATGAAGCATCCACTTGAAAGCAACAAAACAAAACAAAACAAACAGGTGGAATGACTGTTTCTGTTTGCTCTTCTTATGCTTTTGACATCACAGAGAGCTTATTCTTCTTCAGTTGAGAATCTGATTTTTTTTTTCTTCCAAGGAAGAACTGTCCTGAGCTTTAGCTTATAAGAGTATTTGAGCGACGTAAGGAGAATGAGTACTGGCAATAGCAGTCAACAGAGGCAGGTCGTTCGATTCAATCCTGAACGTTGAAAAAAGAAAAGAGTATTACTTTAAAGTAACATGATTATACAGGAAAGTATTATTGCTAGGTACCAAGCTTGCTAGATCACTGCTTAAAACTAATGAAAAAGTAAAAGAGATAGAGAGGTGATAAACTTGTTCTTTTATTCTGTTCTCCCAGTGGACACTGCCCGAGGGACCAAAGGGAGAGGCAGGCGGGGTGCTGTGCCTACGTGTGGAAACAGAGCTGTTCTTCCCACAGCAGGGGTCACCCAATTTTAAGTCTGGACTTTTCTTATCACTATGTTGTACTTGAATGTTTTCTCCAGTATCTCCTCATTCCTCCCGTCAACACTCGTGAATGCAGACTGACTCTGCACCTAGGTTCAAATTAATCTTAGGAAATGACAAAGGTGGGAATTTCTTCAAAAACCTTGGGGCTTTGTTCAACAGGTTATACAACTTTGATCCTCTCTAAGCATTTTAGCCATGACATTTTGAAAGCAAAGTGACACTAACAAATGCTGAATCAAGAGACATCACAGCATCAAATGGACGTGGCTTTGGCTGCCTCTCTTAAAGCAGAGGTGGATACAGCATGGTCACTGACAAAATGCTGCCAAATGTCCTGACAAAAATTAGGACTGCTTCAGTCCATGGAATAAGTCCTCATTCTTTCTACTAAATTCCAAAAACAAAAAATTAAAAATAAAATTTTAAAAGGTAGCTGGCATTACTTCACGGAGTTTTCTATGCTTTCTCCAGGAATGCTCCCTACAGATCTAATTTCGGGGACAAGTTTCCCAGCACCTTTAGTGCTGCTGGCCCTGACTATGGGAGGAAGGGGCTAAAGAGAGGCTGGATGATTCCCACTAATAACGAACAAAGAGGGCCCAGAGATGAGGGTAAATAAATCCTTATGATCCTTCTAACAGTGTTGATGATAGACACCTGTCAGATTCGAGGACCAGGGAAAAGTCCTAGAAATACAAGGCACATATCTGGCAATGGGAAACTTAATGAGGCTGGTAAAGAGAGCTAAAGAAAATCTAAGAAAAAAATACAAAGAAATACATTGCAAATTAGCTGGAAAAGCAAATGCCTCAAAAAGGGAAAATATTTTTTAAATGAAGTACGTAAGAAAAATGTATGACAGGAAATGCTAAGAGCCAAACAATATGGTAAGTCATATCCTGGATGTGAAAGATGAAAAGTCTGACAAGAATGCAAAGCCTGAGTCTTGAAATAACACTTGATTAGCAGGCTTAATAGAGAATTTCAAGGTTGATGTCATATACACATTATTTTCTTGCCCAAAATGAGGGGAATCATCATCATAGGTAAGGGAGACAATTCCCCACATACACAATGTATTTTTGTTAGTTTTCTGTTGAAAAGTTAAGAACAGAGTAAAACAAAAGTCAGAATTTCTTTTCGTAGAGAAGTTATGGCAAAGACCCTCTGGAAGATGATATCTGTTATTAGTAACAAAAGCACGACTCCTCTTCTGGTGGACTTATAACGAAAGAGAGGAGAGCACAGTCACCCCACAGACACGCGGACAGGCCCCTGAAAGTCCAGGAGAACCTGCCTCCTCCAGGAAGCGACATGTAAACACGAGCTGCTGCTGCACGTTTGACAGCTTTCGACTTCGACACCTTACTGAAATGAGCAGAAATGGGCAGACAGAGTGGGATTAAATTTTTCACTTTCAAGCATAAAATAATCCAAGGGGAAGACTTACATAAAGTACCACTAGCTTAAAGTTCTGCGTTTGTTTCCAGGTATGAAACTCCAGTATCAGATACAAGGAATGTGCTGTTGATTGGGGAGCAGCAGAAGCACACATCTGACGGACCCCAAACATTTCAGTAGGGCCTGCAGGTTTAGGGTGGTGCAGGCTAAATGGGTCAGTGAGTACATACGTGCTAGAGACAGCCCCATCCCAGGGAGACATGGTGGCACATCAGAGAACTCACCCCAGTACGACACCTAATTCTTTCACATGGACTCGTGTGTGTCCACGAAGATATTCAGACAGCATCTTACTTTTCAGGTACATCTCCTGTAGTCTATCTTCAAGATGCATGATGCACTGCAAAGCCAATAACATTCACAATGAGGGCTAGAATTTAAATCTCTGCCAATATTCTAAGAGCTAGAATTCTCTTAATTTATTTCTAAGTACACAGCTGTAATCTCATCCCTTTCAAAGACACTTACAAGCCATCTCAAACCCCACCACTAGTAGGTATAAGAATAGGTTTTTGTAAAACAATAAAGTTTACTTTTTCTAATGACTATTAAGATTTTCATATATATATCTTCTAGTCTTTTTTTTTTTAATTGAGATATAATT